CTGTGCCTGCGGTCTGGGGTACGGCTGGGCTGGGAACCCACACGTCCCGGTCCAGATGAGTCCACTCGGTCCTGTGGCTGTGGTCTGGGGTGGAGTGGGGCTGGGAAACCACATGTCCCTGTCCCAGTGAGACCGCTCGGCCCTGTGGCTGTGGTCTGGGGTGGAGTGGGGCTGGGAAACCACACGTCCCTGTCCCAGTGAGACCGCTCGGCCCTGTGGCTGTGGTCTAGGGTGGGGTGGGCTGGGGAACCCACGTGTCCCTGTCCGAGTGAGTCCACTTGGCCCTGTGGCTGCAGTCTGGGTGGGGGACAGAAGGTCCCCAAGAAGATGAGAGTCAGGGGCCAGGGCTCAGGAGGCAGATGTCCCCAGGGTTGTACACTCACCACCTGACAACCTGTCTGTGTCCTCAGGACCCCTGTTTTGGTGCCTTGCTGGAATACTGCGTCACCAATGGTGTTTACACAGGCTGCGACCTGCCACCCGAGCTGCAGTCCCTGCAGGAGTGAACAGCAGGCCCCGCCTCTCACCAGCCCCTGGCCCTGCACCCCACCAGCACAGCCCGCCCCACCGGTCCTGCCCGCTCCCTGCTCCATGGCTTAGCCGCGTGAGCACATCTGCCGTGCAAACAAGATGGAAGGCATCAGCCTCTGTGTCCTGTGGGGGTTGCTGCCCTTGCCCCGTGCCGACTGCTCTTGCACTCTCATCTGCAGCTGTGACTAGACCCCGGCTCTGTCCTCAGCCCAGCGGGAGCCAGAGACTCAGGAGCTCTTTAGTGGATGTGGACTGGCTGCCATGCCCTGTCCCCACCTAGAGACTGGCTCCCAGCAGACCGTGTGTCTGCAGTGTGACCCTGTGACTTTCCCAGCCCTGCATGCACACCTCCTGCTTCAGTCATGTGGCGTTCAGCCCCCCAGATAAAGGCTCAAGTGGGACTCCACAGCACCCTGCCCCTGGTTCTGGTGTAGGGGAGTGTCCCTTCACAGCTCCTGCTGGGAGGGGAGGGGATGCTGTCACCGGCCTACCAGGCCTCAGTAGCACCCAGAGGCCAGGGTGGAGCTGTGGTTAGGCCACGTGCCTGTGTCAGCACCAGCTGTGCCACTCAGGCGGGTGGAAGACAGGAGGGGGCCTCTCAGCCTGGGCAGGATCAGAACCGACCCACTCAGAGCTCTGCAGCGCGATGCCTGCTATCTAGAGTGCCAAGTCCACAGCCGGGGACGGTGCAGCAGCACCTGTGCCCAGGAGACATGGCCAGAACTCGGCAGGTCATTGAGGGCAGCCCCAACCTGCCTGGCTGGGCCACTGATCTCCAGCCGCCCCCAGCACCTGCCAGACAAGGGTCCAGGAGAACAGGGACGGTGTCCACCCTGCTGCTGCCACCACCCTGCACCTAAGCTCAGGCCTTCCACTGTGAAACCAGCCTCTTCCAGCTTTACCCCAGAGAAAGGTGCCTGTGGTCACTGCCAGGAAGAGCAGCCAGTACTATGCAAGAAGGAACGACAAAGCCACACACTCAGTAAGCTCGGTCACATCACACAAGCTGCGGTGGCAGCAATGGCTGCAGCCCAGGGTGTCCCACACCCCATCCACCAGAGGCTCTGGAGTGCTCTCTGTTGCAGGACAAGGCCCTTGCATTGCAGGGGAGGTAGGAGAGCATTGGCCCCCACAAGGGGTCCTCTGAGGGGTCCCCCTTAGCCTGATGGGTCACTGGGGGATACATTCAATCCTTGGGGGCCCACAAGTGCTAAAGGTACCTTTATAGGTGGTGAAGTGAAGTGAAGTGAAGGTGGATGCCCCAAGCCTGCATGTCCCCCAACCTAGATTCAGGCCTGACTGTCCCTTCATGGCTCCAGATGGGTGATGCCCAACGTGACCTCAGGTGTGCTGGGATCAGGGTGGGTGCATCTGTGCAAACCAAGGTCATGGAGGACCTACAGGCATAGAACATGGCTCGGCTTGGCAGGAATAGCTGGTTCCACCAAGGTTGCTGTTGCTGGTCAACAAGCCTGGGTCTTGGATGGATGGTCACTCCGGCAGACAGTTGTCCTCGGGTCCTCACAGCCCCACCCCACCTATCCTGGCAACCACACCTCCACCCCTGGAGCTGGAGGGTCCAGGCGGGACACGGGGGGCACTGGGACTGGCAAGCTGGGCCCTGGGTAGGATGGGGGGGGCTCTTGTGGGGCATGGGTCCAGGCCTCACCAGGTTTTCCGGACGCTTCTCCAGAGACGCTCAGCGCAGGGCCTTGCCAGCCCCTCCGGGGCCCTGGAAAGGCCAGGTTTTGTGGAGGGAAGAGGAAGGCAGAGCTGAGCCATCGGGGAGGGAGTAGGAGCAGATGGCTGAGGCACAGAGCGTCAGTTCTGGGCCCACTGCCACCGTGCCAGCCCACATCCGTGTTCCTGTTCCCATGGGCTGCTGGGCACGCCAAGGCTAGGGACACTGCAGCTCCCTGGGGATGCAGGATGAGCAGTGGCCAGATACAGCAGTGTCTGGGTGACGTGGGCTGTGCTCGCAGGGCCAGGGCTGTGGTCCATCTCCTGAGGGGGCACTTAGGTCGTCTCCACCTGAGGCTGGGCACTCCCAGGAGCAGCAAGGTCGGCCCACAGGCCCCAGTCCCAGTGAGTGGCTGGCCATCTGATGTCTGCTACAGCTTCTGCTAGTCCGAGGCCAGGTGCTCTCCCAGCAGAGGCCTCGGGGAGCAGGAAGTGGGGGTGGGGGTGCCTGGCCATAGCTCTGCCCAGCTGTGTCTCCTTGGAGTCCTGTCAATGAAGGATCCTGGGGTGAGTGCCCCACATGGCATTGGTTACTCAGAATCGCTGGACAGCGACTCAGATACTGAGCAGTCAGTGAGTAGTGGTTAGTGGACGCTCAGTGGTCGTTCAGCAGTCACCTGGCAGTACTGGCTGGCAGGTGGGCACATCGGGAAGCCCCAAGAAGGTATCATGCATCCTGGTGTCGTGTCTGGGAGACGAGGTACCCAGGAGCGTTGCCCAGACACCACCCTACTGGCCACATCCCTTGTCCTCAGCCAGTGCTCGGAGCCCAGGGCCTGTGGCTCTGAGGTCTGCTACACTGCCAGTGGCGGAGGCCATCAGTCTCTGCTGGCAAGCTGACAGCAAGCTGAAGATGAGGGGTTCCTGGAATGCCAGGAAGGAACAGGTCGCTTTTGGCCAGCCTCACCCTGCAACACTGGCTCCCATGCAGCCATCCTCTCACCATCCACTCTGGTGATGTGGGCCCAGCACAGCCATACCCACAATGCACTGGGTACCTGGGCACAGCACAGCCATACCCACTGCACTTGGTGTCTAGATGTCACAGATGTGGGAGGATCAGCAGGAGAAGGTGTGGGTGGCCATGCCATGAGGCATGGCCACGGGCACACCAGGGCAGGACAGTGCAAGGCTGGGCCCCCAGGTGGGGAGGGGGGTGTCAGGCGAAGAGACAAGGAGAAGAGCTGGTGCTAGACAGAGGGGCTCTGTGGGATGAGAGGAAGCTACTTGCACTGGAGTTGGCTGCATGGCCCTCGCTGACCTCTGTGCTTGGCTGTCCCATAAATAAAATGGAAAACAGTGGCAGCACCCATTGATCTCAAAGTTTTGTTTTTAAATGCTCGTGATGCAATTGCCAACAAACCAAACCCATTGCCACAGAGTCAAGTCCAGCTCACAGCACCCCTAGAGGACAGAGTAGAAGTGCCCCATGGGGTTTCCAAGGCTGGCTGTGTGGGGGCAGTTGGCCAGGGCTTTTCTTCTGTGGATCGGCTGGTGTATTTGAATCACCAACCTTTTCGTTGCAGCCAAGAGCCTACCCGCTTGCTACCAGGACTCCTTTTTTGAAAATACAGTGTTGTTACATGCCATTGAGTTGTCTCTGACTCATAGAAACCCTATGTACAAGAGAATGAAACACTGCCTGGTCCTGTGCCAGCCTCACAATCCTTGCTATATCTGAGCCCACTGTTGCAGCCACTCTTATCAGCCCATCTCATTGAGGGCCTCCCATTCTTTCATTGACCCTCCACTTTACCAAGCATGACATCCTTCTCCAGGGAGTGGTCCCTTCTGACAATATGGCCAAAGTAGGTGGAACAAAGTGTGGCCATCCTCACTTCCAAGGAGCATTCCAGCTGCACTTTCTCCAGGACAGATTTGTTAATTGTTTTAGTCCATGGTACTTTCAGCATTCCTTGACAACACCACAACTCAAAAGCATCAAGTCTTCTTCGGTCGTCTTTATTCATGTGCAGCTCTCAAAGAGGTGATTGAAAATACCATGGCTTGGGTTAGGCGCACCTTAGTCTTCAAGGAGACATCTTTGCTCTTCATTACTTGAAAGAGGTCTTTTGCACCAGATTTGCCCAGTGCAATATGTCATCTGATGTTTTGACTGCTGCTTCCATTGGTGTTGATTGTAGAACCAAGTAATATGAAGTCTTTGACGAGTTCAGTCTTTTCTCCATCTGCACTGATACTGCTTATAGGTCTAGTTGTGAGGATTTTTGTTTCCTTTATATTGAGGTATAATCCATACTGCAGGTGTAGTCTTCAATCTTCATCAGTAAGTGCTTGAAGTCATCCTCACTTTAAGCAACCAAAGTTGTGTTGTCACCTTATCACAGGTTAATGATTCTCCCTCTAATATCGATGCCATGTTGTTCGTCATATAGTCCACCTTCTCAGATTATTTGTTCAGCACACAGATTGAATATGTATGGTGAAAGGATACAACCCTGATGTACTCCCTTCTCGATTTTAAACCATGCAGTATCTCATATCTCATGCAGGTTCCTCATGAGTACAATTAAGTGTTCTGGAATTCCCATTCTTCTCAATGTTATCCATAATTTGTTATGATTCACACAATCAAATGCCTTTGCATTGTCAATAAAACACAAGTAAATATCTTTCTGGTATTCTTTGCTTTGAGCCAAGATCCTTCTAACATCAGCAATGATATCCCTTGCTTCACATCCCTTTCTGAATCCAGCTTGCATTTCTGAAAGTTCTCTGTCAATATACTGCTGCAACTGTTTTTGAATTATCTTAAGATTTTACTTGCATGGTATCAATGATATTGTTCAATAATTTCCACATTCTGTGGGATCACCTTTCTTTGGTATGGGTACAAATATGGATCTCTTCCAGTCAGTTGGCCAGGTAGCTGTCTTCCAAATCTCTTGGCATAGCTGAGTGAGCGCCTCCAGTGCAGGGTCCGTTTATTGAAACATCTCAATGGGTATTCCATCAATTACCAGAACCTTGTTTTTCACCAATTCCTTCAGTGCAGCTTCAACTTGCCCCTTCAGTACCATTGGTTCTTGATCATGTGTCACCTCCTGAAATGGATGATCATCTACCAGTTCTTTTTGGAATAGTGACTCTGTGTATTCCATCCATCTTTTGGTGTTTCCTGCAATATTCAACATTTTGCCCATGGAATCTTTCCATATTGCAATTTGAGACTTAAATTTTTTCCTCAGTTCTTTCAGCTTGAGAAATGCCGGGC